ATATTATAAGCTAAGGATATATACATACAAATAAATATCTCGATATATGTTGATATTCAATTCAAACATGAATTGTTTAATAACTATAAATAGATGCCAATTTGTGTAACGTATTAAAATACTAAAATACTATCGCTGCTAGAGCTTTTTAGCAAGGAGACGTTATGCAGCCCTAAATCCCGTAATAAAATACTAAAATACTAGGCCAGGAATATACTAAGAGTAGTTGTCAGTCAGTTGACAGTCTGTCAGAATGGCAAGTCTCTATTACATTGTAGCTGCAATAATTGCTTTAAAAATGGTTCTATGTGCTTCGCAAAACTACAAAGATAACACTAACAAGTCCCCATCCAAGGCAGCCACGTTTCATTTTCCTGAGTACGCGTACAAAGAAACAAGTAAAAATGTAAGTAGAACTGAGCGTTGGCTGGCTTATTGATTTTTCACAGGAATTGTTGCCTCTGCTTGTTGTTTTAGGAAATCATCTATCATGACTTCGAGCTTGCCTGTAGCCAGAACTCGCTGTGTGGCAATAATCCATCCATGGTCTCCAAGCTGAACTGCCTAAGGAAATGCATATCACATTCGTGCTATCAAGATATCTATGCTTTCGATGAGGTATGTATGTCTGACTGTCAAAACTGTATTGGTATGATAAAGAGAATCAAAGTAAATGTTTATTTCCCTTGTTGCAGCTGGAGGATGGTGAAATTGATGTCAGGATGAATTCGTTCAAGGGCTGCGTTATACAGCGCATGTAGCATAAGGCCCCCATCCTGCATAGACTGTATTTCACAAACTATTTGCAAGAGCTGCACTGGAAGATATCCCAATATATTTTTAAATGGATATAAGCAGATATCTACAGCTATTTTACGTTAAGCTTTAGTTTCAGTTTATGTGCGTTATGTAAAATGTGAAAAGATGTGAGCTTTTAGTTAGTAACTAATTTAAGTACAGCGAACAGACCTATATCTGTTTATGCATCTGAAAATAATCTAGTCTAAATAAAGTATGCTAAGTATCATATAATGCCCTAGCTTCTTAAAAAACTATTTGATAAGAATATATCTGCCTTGGCATATAGCAAAACCCGAACATGTTAATCTGATCCACACACTTTAGTTATTAATTTGTATTTAGCTTAATGGTTACAGGGTATTCCAATCAACTGATACTCTCAATACTAGATTCATTGCACATACAAATTGTATTTAAATGGGCAATAGACGTATGTATGTAGTTAGGTAAAAGTGTGTCAAATACGTCATTCGGTCGTTCAGTAGAGAGCCATATACTTGAGCCTATTTGTATGCTGATTATCAAGATCGGGAAATATTTTATTAAGACAACTCTCAGCGTGCTAGTGAACGAGACTTCGGACAGCTTTAACGATGAATTCTTTATAAAACTTTATTTCTTTATTTCATTATAAAAGTTAAAAATACATTTGCAAAAATGTTTGTTTTACATTATAAATTCATTGTAAATGTATGTACGGGGTATATTTCCATTTAGTTAGAATATACATATACAGAAGAAATATAATGATGCATGTACATTCTATGTAAAGGTTTTTTGTTGCGCGGATTTTTTTTTTGTTTGTCAGTCTGTATACATTAAAGATTTGCAACTCTTATGCAGTAGTGTGAACAGATTAAGTTGGTATTGATTAAGTCAATATCTATTCTAATAGAGTTTGTACTTCTATATATCTGTCCATTTCGTATACCTCCGTTTATTCTTTATAAATCAAGATAAACCTAATTTTTATGTTCATTCGCGAATGAAGGAGCATTTTTCTTTAGTGTAATATTCGTCTTGTTGTTTATCCGTCCGTCAGTCTGTGCGTATGAACGCCATTAATTTCAGCGTTATTGAAGTCATTTGATAAAGTGCTAAGATTTTCCCGACACGTCCAATTGGTAAGGGGAAAATGATTTTCCTAGTACTTTAGCAAAGCTATTAAAAAGTTATTAAGTTTAAAGTGCTAGAGTCTAACTTGGAATATATATTACAGTTGGCTGCCTTTATCGATGACCCGGAAAATTTTACGACCGTTTTGAGGAACGTGGTAGAGCGAAAATTTGACACTATTGACTATTTTTAAGGATTGGTTAAACATAACCTATCTATACTACATAAAATGCCATACATACATGTCTATGGCTCTATTGGATGCAGCAAATCGGATCTGGCAGCGTTTTAGCCACTTATTAATATTATGCAGTAGGGAGCGCCGAACTGTAAAACGTACTTACTTAATAATACATTTTTATAGGTGCTTTGTGGAAGAA